GTAACATAAAAATTAGTTCTATGAAAATTCATTATTCAGAGACGTAGATGTTTTGTATTTTGCAAAGTCGCGTCGCTCATTAATGGTTTTGCACGTATTCTGAATGCAAATATTTGAGTTCGTTGTTTTCTTTTTCTGGTTTTTTTTTTTGATTAAATATGATAAACAAAGATTTTACCGATATTAAAAGAAGAAATGTCAAGTTTATTTTCACTACCAGTTAAAAAATTGGTTTCAAATTCAGTTTGAACAGAAGTTCAACAAGCTGGTCTTCCATTTGTTTCAGTTGTGACTTGAAAATTCTTTTCTTTAATATAATTTTTTTTTCTTAATCATACTGATTGTTTATTCTGCACTAAAAATTTGTTTGAAATGATTTAATAATAACGAAAAAAGCTTTTCAAACATTTTAAGCTATTTTGAAATTTTCTAATGATTCCAACAATGCACAAAATCTTTTTTCATTGTCTGCTATGTTCCTTCAAGGAGAATAACTTTAAAATAAACTAGATGATTTTTGACATTTTTTGTTTCGATTATTCTTTGAATTTTTTTGGAAAAATTCTTCATTTAGAGAAACAAATAAGTGAAATAATCAAGAGTGTAATATCATATCATTAAAATTTTCTCAATTTTATTAAAAACAAAGAATAATTTATTTATTTCAGAATTCATTCAATTAAAGAATAAAATTATTAAAATCCTAATAGAAAGAACTCATATGAAATCAATTTTAACATAATTTCATTAGATGCAAACACACGATACATCGTCATTTGAGTCAATTTCAGTTACATTTTACATCAGAAACCGAACTTCATATTAACAAAAAAAAAGAGAGTGTAGTGTAATATTTGATAGGTCTGTCGTTTTATATCTGAGCTAATTTTTCACTAAAAAGTCTCGACTTCAACAAAAAATTACTTCTACATTATACACAATGGTCAATGGTAGAATATCATTATTGTGTTAAAACGAATATAAATAATAGCTTCTATATGATGTAAGTAAAATAGTCGGAAAAAAAAATAAGACGGTTATATTTTGATTGACGTTCAGAGACACTAAATCTAAAAATGATACCTAAAATATTTGTTTAATAAGATGAGAATATATTTTTTGAAAAGTTTTAAGTTATATATAAAAACAAACTATTGTCATGTTAAATAGCATCATCAAAGAAATTTTTAAACTGATTTGTATCCGCAATAAACCGAAATATTAAGATTATATATGAGCGAAAAAAAGAAAATCTTATATTAATGTAGTAATTTCTAGAAAATATGAGACGTCTTCTCATAAAGGATGAGCTGAACTGATCTATTTAAAATTTACATTTAGCGTATGAGCTATCTAAATTTCAAAAACAAACCAACATCTATAAAAAAAAACACTTGTCACCAAGTATAACGTTAATGTTGCTGTTTGTTTGTTTGAAGTTTGATAACACATACTAAATTTTCAATTTAGAACGTTCGCAAACTCTTCAACTTCCTAGACTTAGTTAATTGTAGAAAAAAGAGAAGTTTCTAAAATTTCTACGAAATTCATTATTCTTGTTTTCAATATTAGAAAACGTATCAATTTGATATATTATAAATAAATCGCTGTAGTCACAGCACTGAATTCAGAACAGCTAGTTAATGGCATAATTTGAAAAAATAGGTCAATCAGAAGAGTAAGTGAATCGACTGAGTGACCCTTTACAATATATGTAAAAACTATTTTGTTCCAATAAATGGCTTCAATCATTTGTTGAGAATCAGACGTATCAAATGTTTGTGTTTACATCATATAAAGCATGTGGTTAGTGACCCAAGTCTTAGTATGAAATGAGAACGATAAAGTAATTCTTCATTAGAACTAGTGTCCTTCTTTTTTCAAATAAATCGATGTATGTTCAAAAATGTTCACAAAATAAGGAAGCAAAATATCTTGATATGGCAGAAATAGGAAAAATACATACACACATCGATGCAATAAAAGCAAAATATCGATAATATAAACCTTGAAAGATTCGTTGCGTAAAATACTGTAATGTTTTGTTTTGCTGAGAATTCATCAAATTGAAATATTTGATTGAGCGTATCTCCAGTATTAGTTCCATATAGTATCTTGGTTTGTGAATGAGTAAAATAACTGTACGAGTGTTTGTTTTTTTTATTCAGAAATATTTCTTTCTGTGCTAACTCGAACAATAGTCATATGTGTTTTATTTCACTTTGTATCAGAAGAAATTTTCAATAATGTAATAAACACAAACTAATACAACCTATGTAACAACTTGAACAACAAGGATATCGATATGGATGTGCGTGTATTATAACGGTAGATGATAGAATAACTGACTATAACTCTAGCACTTCACTTTGTACAAAGATATTTTTTTGAGTTCATGAAAGTATTGATTTATAAGCAAAGGTGTATTTATTATAAACACTAAATTATTTTCTATTTTTATTAAGTATTCGATCGTTTTGGTGCCTTAATATCATCAAACTAAATCTTTTTCAAGAATAAACAGTTCGAAGTATATAAAGATAGGTATGTAAGATTGTAATAACTCGATATCAATTGCATATGTGAATAACTATCAAATTATGTTTCGAGGCTTTTTGTTTATATATATATATGAATAAAACATGTTACGGATTTCAAAATAAGAAACTATTTATTATTTTTTCTACTTTCTTTTGCTTTTCGATATTTTTTCAGGTATGTGTGTTTTTTTATTGCGTGTGCAAGATTCACTATGAGTAAATTACTGAAGCATGTCATTTTGTGCACATGTATCGTGGTATGCAGCATTCTGTGAGCATTTTGTGTAGACTTGTTCGTGATAGAGCATGTAGTAAGGAAAAAGAAAAAAAACTATACAAAATAACGAGTGATAAGAAACGAATAAAATGGCTTCGCTGCAAAGGTAAAACAAAAAAGAATCATTCGAGAAAACTAGCAAACAGTACTACATACATAATATCAAACATAATCAACAGTACCTCAACACAAATTTTTTTTCATATATTCAATTTTCAATTATTTCGTCGTGGTGAGTAAATTTCTAGAATAATGCCGAAAATAGCAAGAAGTCTAACAAGCGCCAATATGATCTGCACTTTAGATACCATTGAGAAAAATATAAAATTATTCACAATGATTGCTTTTTCTTTTGAATGATCGATTAATAAATGTCTCTTAATTCATTGATAATGCCTATATCTTTCAAAATTAGTTTATTTCCTTTTTGGTCACTATTATACATCATGTTAAGTTAATCAAGAGATGATCGTTGAACTATCAGAATAATAATATTAAAATTTTCACGCTAGTGAGGATAAAGATAAAATGTTTCGCATCTTCCAGCACCGTCTCAAAATCAACTTGAAATATTTCTTATTACATAGCACAGAAAAACGTAAGATATAGACCAGATGGTTTCAGTCTGGCATTTTTCTGTAAGAATGATCACGATAACTTTGAAGCTGTTGAATACTTTCGTATAACAGTAGTATTTGCTATTTTCTTCTTGTTAAGTTAATAATTCTTTAGAACTTTGTAATTAATTTTAATTTCTATCATCTTGGTTACCTTTTCAATTCATGAGGAAAATAAATCAGAAAATAATTCAAAGTTTTTATATTTCTTCATACGAAAGTTTTCTCTGTTAGATCTGGCTAGATATATTCTGGTCTATTAAATATGAAAACTCTACAAATGTATAGTTTGACTTATGAGAATTGATCAAAGTTTACTAGGTGTTGCTTCCTTTGTGTATGTATTTTCGATTTCACTCTCACATACGAGATGCACTTTGTACGTGTTCTTACGACTTCATCTTCATTAAAAAAAATTTACATGTAAGTGTCGCCGTGCTAGTGTTTCACACGATTGGTTTTACGTGGTTAGAAGATAGATTACAAAGCAAACACAGAATTACTTTATTCGTATCGTATTTCTGGTTAGTTGAGAATAATTATTGCATATATTATTCGAATTTGAAAACAACGTTTTTCTATTTTTACAACATGGAAAAAAATTTTGCTCTATAATATGAGTCTATATATATATAGTTTGTTAGTAATACTAATGATATGACAAGATAAGGTAACATTTATTTCGTTGCTAAAACTCTGATGATAAATTTTGAATGATTTTGACTTGAAAAAGCACGAAAACAAGTTTTCTTTTTATGAGTGAATTCAACACATGAATTTCTCTATAGATTCAACTCAAAGTTTCTTCAGTATCTGTGGGATAATCAGCTAAGATGGTCTTAGTAATTCTTTATCTTATCGAAACAAATAGATTTATGATTTTTTTTGTCATAAACTTGCCAGTATAACCCACTTAGAGCTAAAACCTGGATCTTACACATTTTCTTTAGCTTCATTATACTAATACAAAATACATTAAGTCAAAAATCTCTAATAAACAATAGTTGCTTTCTGAGAAATAACCAATTCCTAACATCACTATTATTTTTATTCCAAACATTGTTTAACTCAAAATTAAGCCTGATGTACACATCGACTGTATCTATAGAACTTCTCAACACTCGATTATGTATTGCGATAAACTTAGAAGTACACTCATATTGATTATTCTCGAAGACTAGAAGTTGATAGATTTATGCTTTCTGTATTGATCATATGACGACTGTAACAAATCAATACAGTACTAACCAGTATCATTGATTTGTATTGTATAACAGTTTATTTGCGAAAAAAACCAGAATCTATGCTACTGTAACATTCATGTCATCAATGGTTTTATGAAAAATTATATTTAGGATAAAAATTTACTATTCTATGTTTTCTTTTACAGTATAGCAGCTTAAATAGTTCTCGATGTTTAATTATAGCTAGCAAAGTAGGTTCTCAGCATTCAATATTACACTCTTGAAGAGAATTTATTTGATGCAGCTAATGCTTCAGTTTATTTTTGGTTTTTTAGAATATAATTTTCTTACTGGTGCTTCAGAATAAGAGAGAAGCTTGAATATGAATCGACGCCGATTAGCTTTGATCTTTGGAAATGAAGACTACAGTGGTACAGCAAAATTAAAAAGTTGTGTTAAGGATGCTGAGGATATGGCAGCTGCATTAACTAACTTGGGTGAGTCTTTATGGGTCACATTTTAATGAAGGACAAAGTTTTTGAAAATTCTTTTTTGTTATGCTCTAGGTTTTCAATGCACGAAATATCATAATTTGAATAAACGTGCCATGGATATTGCCATGAGAGACTTTTGTACAAAAATTGCTGATAATGATTGTATTTTAATATATTTTTCTGGACATGGTATGGAAGCATACGTAAGGATTATGTAGTATTTCTTATGCTTACTTGAAAACTGCAGCAGTCATTTAGTTATGTTACAATACATGTTGTATCCAAACAGTTGAGTTTGACTAACTACTTGGAATAAGTATTGTAGAGAAATCATACTTTGATATAATTTGACGGAGGTATTCTCAACAGTATATACCCAAAATAGAGTAATTCTGTCATTTGTGAGCATAGTTCCTAATAATACTAGATTTAAAAGATGACAGCATTTTCAGCTATTTTTCTTAGTTGATAAGTTTCAAGGTACTTGAATAGAGCAAAACATTCTGCATTCGAAGCTGAAATTTCAATACTGTTTTGTGTTGCTTGGAAAAATAGCTCAATTTACATGGAGTTTATTTTTTACTTTCACGTTGATATGTCGAAGGAAATCTGTCAGCTAACCCTTTACGACTCTCTCCAATCATTATTTTATTGCCATCTACGACTAATACTGGATTTCTAGGAGCAAATCATACGGTGGTAAAGTAAAAAATCTTTCTAGACTTGACATCTGAATTTCAAGCCCGAAATAAAGCGTTCCGCAATTACCTAACTATCCATATATCTCTATGTATAGAAATGATACTACAAAAGGTTTTTCAATTACTCTTTTGACAAATAGTCGAATTCTGATTCTAGCGTATTTTTCCAAGATACCACTCCTGAGCAACAATGCATTTGTATATTTGTTTAAAATAGATTACAGAAGTGTTTTTTTTCATCGAGTTTTATGTGGCGGATAATGCCCTGTCCTAGCGCATGTAACACTATTGCCGCCAGCAAACTCAACTCTAGCAAAAAGAAGCCATATGAGTTTAGATCTGAACAGTATATTATTTTTGGATATAATTCAATAAGATTTTCTGTGAACAAATGGTAGGTAATCGACATTTTCTGTAGGAAAACTGAGTATTTCAATACTACAGTTTTATTACGTCATTGTACACTGTTGAAACTTTCTGCTAGGTAAGAAATGTTTTTTTAGTTTCGTTCTCTAGTATCGATAAATGTTCATTATTCTTGAATCACTTTGTATGACCGCAACTGTAGGATATACTATTATATTTTTATCATTATTATAAAAATATGATCTACCATTAGTGATGATGCAGTATATAAGATGAAATCAATCCTTTCGAATTCCCTCAGTAAATCACAACGCAATCGAATATGGAATTACTTTCAATCATCGATTAGCTAATAGCTAACTAATTGAGCACAATATTCTATAGAAGACTAAAATGAGAGGATAAAATGAAATAACTCTTGACAAAATTATGCTTAATGTGTTTGCTATTCATACCTATGTTCCATGAGAATAATTTTCAATCAGTGCTGAAACAACATGAATAGGTTTGCCAATTATAGTGACTGGAGGACGACCTGAATGAGTTGCATCTGTGTGCTAAATTAGCACGGCTCTTCTAGTGGCTTAAGCCAAATTATCTGTCTTGTAAAATTATACTTCGAGTTGTTCTTGTGAGAAGTCAAAAGCCATATGAAAAAGCATGTGTCACTAGTTCGAAAGAAAATAAAAATTACAATCAATAGCAAAGCTTCAAAGTCTGCCAATGGGCACACAATGGTTAATAAGTCTAAAAATTAATATAGAACAGTTTCACTCAAATTAAAGTTTCAAGCAGAGCTCAGCTAAAGAGTTTTTATAGTATTCTTTGTATATATATTGGTAAATTGTATTCCCATTTTCTCATCATATTTCAGTGCGTATTTTCTATCTTTTTCTTCCATTCTGATCGACAACAGTTAAAGCTACAAAAATGAGGATTTATCTTGTCCCAAAGATCAAATATCATCAAGAGATTGCTAGTCTATACTATCTAGTTATAAAATTTCACGAAGCTCTATTCCTGACTTTGAAATTCAAATCTTTGTTTGAAAACCGCATAGAAACTAAACATAACATATACCATTTGATTTGTTCTTCGAACTTTGATCTAATTTTACCATTAGTTTTTCGACATCATGAAAACCCGCTTGTGATGGGTCAATATTATTGCCACTGTTGGTATAACATGCAAATTTCGACATTCTGTTTTATAGATCTATTTGAGTAGAAATTCATTTTTTCCATTTTTTGTACAATTCACTCAATAAAGCAATTTTTAGTCCCATCAAATGACAGAAATGTGACCCTTGCAAGTAATTCCAATTATCTGATATTAGAAAAAAATAACTAATATATTCAGCTGCTGTTCTCAGCTCATCTAAGGTAAATTGTTGGGAAATTATGATTTGTTTAAGCTATCATTAATGATCTCTTGGATGTTGAATTCATATTTCTAATACGAGTAATGGCAGTCTTTCGTTCTTTTTTCTGCCAACGATATAATAATCACACGATTCATTCGTATATAATTCTTGAGTGGCCTATACCAACATATGGTTTCAAAGAGAATTTCAAAGAACTGTTGAGAAAAGGCAAATCATGAACCATGATGAGAAAAACATCGAGAAGCCAGATATATCATTCTTTTTAATCTAAACTTCAAGCAAATAATGTTATTTCGAGAAGTATTTATCGATAGATTATCGTTTGTAAATAGGATTTCTCGAGTTTTCTTCAAATTTAGCATTGATGCCATGCTTTCTTCATAAAAGGGCAAAATAATTTTCGATCACAGTAGGTAGGCAGTTCATTTTTCCAAAATTTGTCAATAATTTTATTGATTATAGAAAATCGACTGCAAATATCACTACATTTACCAATATTAGTTAGAGCTAACTGTACAAAAAGAACAGAACCATTTCATTAAGAAAAATGTGTGTCACCATGAGTGAATTCTGCACACAACACGCATGCACAGTATTTCGATTAGTATGCACTGTGTTCTATGAAAATGGTGACAAACTTTTTGTTACTGATTCAATTCTCTATTTCCAATGAATAAGCAGAAAATGATAGTCTCTTTTCCACCAAAGATATTGATCACATGAAGGAAGAGTAGTCCATTGAAGAGATATGTACAAAAGGACTCTATTCCTTCGATGAATTAGAAAGACTATTGCTATTCGCATCTGTAAACCATCCCGGGGAACTTTGCTCATCAAAAAGGTGTAGTTAAAGATGGCTAATGAATAGTAAAGGGTATGGGTATGACTGAAGAGAACAGTCACGCCCACTTTCACACCTTTCGATAAGCCCTAACAATCTTACTTATTTCTTTCAGGGTAGGAACTATTTACTGCCAATCGAACCATTGCTCGATCCGGAATTCGATTGTATAAGTTTGGATACCATGTTGAAGGATCTGAGGCGTTCTGGAAATAATCTTTTAAATATTATTATTTTGGACGCTTGCCGATTTGATGAAGAAAATGATACTTGGAAAACAAAAGCTATTAATAAACAACCATATCTCAAAGCAGCATTTGGTAACGCATTAACATCACATGTTAACATACCAAACGAATCACAATTTGCTTTGATATTTTCATCTGATCCTGGCACAGTATCTTATGCTGGTCAAGAAGGTGGAAATAGTTTCTTTACTTCGGCGCTGTTAAATCATTTGGTAACACCACAGTTAGAACTTGATGATATGATGAAGCAAGTTAGAAAAGAAATGTTACAAACCTCCCTGGGTCAACAACGGCCTTGGATTCATTCATGTCTCATAGAAGACTTTTATTTCAATCAAGGTGTACAATGAAGGCATTTGCTCTTGAATTTTTCTTTCTAGTTTCTACTTTCTACAACATCACAACCTCATAAAACATGTAGTACAAGCTCATATCACTTTTCTGTTATGAAGCTTTTTGAAGACTGTCTCGAACTCGAAACTAATCGGAAGATCCTGATGTGAATCAATTCGATTCGACTTCATTAGAGTAGAGGTTCAATATAAATTGGTTATTGTTTGTTAATTTGAAGTCGCTCGAGGCTAATGAAATCAATCGAATATTCATGGCAAAGTTAGCATTACAGCCTATAGACTAGTTTCACATTCTGAGTAATCAGCAGTCTATCACGAAACTAGTCGAATGTGTTTAAAAGTTAACGTTAAATAACAATAACAATTGAGATTCCTTCAAATAACAGATCATGTTCTGATACAGTGTCATGACACCTTGATAAGATTTGGATCAGCTTCTATTAAGAGTCAGGGAACAATGTTTGGCTAATTATTCAAGTCGAAATCGTTTTTTTACATTTCAATCAAGAATTAATACGTTTTGCTGGCATTTTAAAGGTACTTTTTGTTCTCAGAAATTCTTTTGCAATAAAAACACTCTTTAAATGAGTACACTAGACAACTTCATGAAGAAACAATGGAAAACGAGATAAATCTTCAAAGGTACAACATTAGAATTTTAAATTACCCAATATTTTTCGAAAACTAGTCAGTATAATTTATTGAGTAATTAAGTGAGCCAGACAATGAGGTCAGTTGAATCGTAATCGATGGCTCCCGCTATATTCATCGTACTTTATCATAGTGTTAAAAGACCTTTCTCATATGACTATCACTTTTCTTTTTACATATTTTAACATTGATTTAGAACCCTATTTCCCAAAAAACAAAGAATAATCGACTTGCCCATTATTACTGTGTGTGTTTCTCACGTCAGTCAAAATGTTACCACTGATCAATATTTCTCTAGCAATGTATATTTAAAATTTTCATTGTTCCATAATCTGCATTCCAGAACTATAACTGGAATGTGCTCAGTTTGTGTTTATCGGTCACTTTTACACGTAGTTCAGTCTCCCATTTGAATCGTTTCAAACAAATAAAATAAGCATGTTCAAATTGATTACATCTGTCCTTCTTATTGTTGCAGATTCGTCGTCGGTGCCTGCTCACTGGTCTTCTCCGAGTAAGTACATTTAATTTATTTGTATGGCTCGAGCATACACAGACCATTCTATGACTTAGTCATTGCAATAACCTGGATATTAGTGCACTCCATTATGAGAAAATGAGTTAGATTTCAAAACTTTTTTGTTTAACATTTGTATTTGTGTTACGACTAAATCAAGCAGAAAACGATAACATATACATGACAAACATATTTCATGCTGAATATTTTTGTGGAAAGGTATCAGCGAAATCCTCCTCAGGATTAAAGTTCTCGATAGATTAGATGACTTGGAGTCTTTTTTACTGTCGTACTTTCTACAGTCTATAGGGAATCTTCTATTATGTTCCTGACATGTTTAATTTACTTAGCGAACGTTCACAACACGAAAAAGAAAAAGAAAATGTTTGAAGGCAAAAAAAAGATCAGCCAGGTTTCAAACCTTTGTGTAGTTCACAATAACAGAATGCTGTTGAAAAAAGTAAATGAAAATTTTTATGAATCCATCACATTTAAATCAGCTGCTTGTGTCAAGACTCGATAGATGTGCGCGAAAAAAAGCGAAGAAGAATAAACCCTTAACGGATTATTGAAAATTTTATAGAGAGTTTATTATGCTACGCTTTTTTATAGTCTAAATGGAATTATTTCAAAATAAAGTGTACTGTGGACTTCGTTTTTAGTTTCTAGCTAACTTGAATAATTATGGTTATCCATGAAGAAAGTTTATCGAAAAGGCACAGTTAAATACACGCTAAGAGTGTTTTTAGGATCCTTTGTGTCTATTTTAAAACAATCTTTGAGTCTTTATGCTAAAAGAAATCCGTTCGCAGAAACGGAAGGTGTATTTCATAGAATGTGCATCACCGCAGGGTGTATAGGCATGAAGGTACATCTCTTCCTTCCATAAACATATCTAGATCCTAACGATTCCTAATATTTGCATATTCATTGTTTCTATGATCAAAACAAAAGATTAATTACATTAGATATATTATCTTTCGGGAAATATATAACTATTTAGATAGATGCTTCACATCGTAGCAAAGTTTAGAGATCCTAAGTAGTTTTTTGAATAGCTATAAAACAATAAGAGATTCAAAGTTTTGGTTTTCATTACAGTCTACACTTCATAAGAAAATTTTCTTGCTTTTCTTATTGGACACATGCTTAGTTTAGAAAATGATTCTTATGCAGTCTGTATAAAAGAACGATTTCCAAGCATAATAGAATGAGTAAAAAGATTTCTTAGACCGTTAAATTACCAAAACTTGTGACGTATGATTTTTACATTTTTCCAACGAAAATAATAGTTGGAGGTCTTAATCTTGTATTTTATTTCGAACTAATAAAAATCGTCTTCAAAATTATTAAATTTAGAATAAGAAAAGTGAAAGGATTATCTATCGGCTTTCTTAAAATCACTAGAATTATATAGATTTTAGATAGTGTTGAAAAAAATGACCTCATTGGTTTTTATTCTTTCAAAAACCGCGTATGAATTATAAATATTATAAGAATATCTTAGATGGACAAAATAATCGTAAAAAAAAACGATTGAGAAGAGGCATGAAAATAGAGAAAACTAAATCCATGTTTCAACAGATGCAAAACTTTGAGCATTTAGGATGCCGGTTACAATTCCTGATGGTAAACTAGAAACGTTCAGAAAAACTAGACTGGACAATGACTAACAATCTGTAACGAATAATCCGACTCTAACTTCAGCAAGTGTATAATATAGGACAACATTTTTTGGACGATCTCTTGAATTGAGTTATGTTTCTTTCCACAATTGGTCCGAAAGAACTGAAACTATAGAAATAGAGAAAGCAAAATACAAACGTCATTTTGATAACTACACCATTCTAAAAGTAAAATATTTGTTAAGTGAAATCTTTATTTTATGCAAGACAGTTAATAATGTTTGTATGAACTTTTTATCATTCCTATGTAATCAGTAATTTTTCTTTCCAAATATCATATTTTAAAGAGCGTCTGACGCTGCATCAGATAGCTAATGATTTCAAGTTTTGTAAAAAAAACCTGTTTTTTTTTTATTTTTATTTTGAGAGTTTCTTTTTTAAAGACTTGCAGAGTCAGGCGCTCTTTAGAATATGATATTTTGAAAGAAAAATTACTCATCATATAACAATGATAAAGAGTTCACATGAACATTGTCAGTTATCTCTCATAAAATAAACATTTCGCTTCTTAGATATTTTACTTGAGGGTGTGGGTGTGAATTTTGGTACTCCGAAATCACATGCCGCACATGTACGTTCACACCAACACCAACTCTCCCACTCTCTATCTGTTGTATTAAATAGAGAGAAAAAGACGGATTTTGATGAATCATGAAACCTTCGAGATCTACCAAGATCTATTAAAAATAAAAGTATTAGTCTCTCACAAGTTTTGAAATCTCTCAAGTTCATGACAACTCATAAAAATCCATAGAATCAATGGATGTTCACAATAATATGAAAGAAACAAGGAGAAACAATATATTTAGGCTCTCTCAAAATTATTCGAAATACATCCGATTAGTTGAGAACTACGTCGAAATCTTTTCTCTTATGTGTGCAAGTACGCCGTTGTCAATTTGAATGTTGACTCTACTTTTTTGCTAGCATTGACATTCTTATGTACCACGATTTTCGAAGTTACATTTATTTGAAGCAATTTAAATGGCAGGCGAACGAAGAAAAAGCATCCATTCAGACTCAAGCACAGTTAGTCATGTATGATGAAATTTAAACTTCATCTCCCTAAAGATCGTGTCAGTAAGCTCTCAGCTTTGGCACATTGATCAAGAACGTTACTGGTTCACTATGCCATATGTCTCTCGTAGGTCGATGAGACACAAGTTGAGTTCTTTCTAATATCCGCAACACTTTTCTCGCTACGATTCTGACTACAAATATCGATTCTTTTGTTGACTTTTTCTTGCGGAATCTGGTTTCTTATTGGTAGGATTACCACAAATCTTGAAAAAAGAGAGTCGAATCATAAAAATTTTTCTTAATAATGATTCGCCGGTTATTATTTTTTTTCATTTTGAACACAAACTTTCTACATGCTACCTAAGCATATGGCATCTTTGACGATGTCTGATACAAATTAAGAATTTTCATGGATTGTTTTTCTAATCAAATTTTTCTTTAAAAATGGCGTGTTAAAACACATTTTCTCATTTCTAAAAAAGTGTGCTGCTTCGATAGCCAAATGAGTGGATGGAGGCTATCTATTTGATATTTATAGGATCGCAAAGCAACATGATGCTAGTGATGTGTGAGGCGACAAATTTTTTGGAACCTATGTAAAAGCTTTTTTACAGAAACACATACAATGTCATTAAGTTAATAGTCAGTTTTAAAGTTACAAACGAAAGAAAAAAATATGGTACTTATTTCAGTGTGAAACTAAAAATAAGTTTGCATTAAAGGATAACTTTTTTGCTCATCGTTAAATTCCATGAATGACAACTGCACATAATGGATGTGTATCAAATCAGAAAAGTAAAAAAAATCGAATGTGATATAGAAATGAACAAAAAAGATATTTTTGGCTACTTTTTTTGATAAGATTCTTTTAATGAAGACCATGCAGCATAGTCTATTTCGCTTCTTAAAATTCACATTTTCCGATGCCACAGTAGTTGCAGTATTCAGACAGTTAAAATTTTGGGAAAATGTATTGCAACGCACCAGTTCTGCTCTCTTATGAATGTTCTGACACCTCTTTGAAAATCGCTCAAGGATGGATATGGTAGACGAGAGAGGCTTAGATAAAGGGAGACGAGGGGATGGATATGGGTCTCCTCTTAACTCCTACTATACCCCTACAT